ATTATCATCATCTTAAACGTTTTCGCCAAATGTATAAATTTCCATATTCTTTGACAAAAAGTCAATTCACAAACAAAAACAACTGGTTTTTAGAGGATAGAGATCCAATGACCCTTAAGTAAACAAGTCAAAATTATATTTTATGAAACTAGATGTCATCCATGATCAACGAATGCTGTGATACGCTAGTAGCGAACATCAAGAGGGCAGAGCAGGATGGGCAACCTATTGAGTGTAAACGGTGAGTTAATCTCCTCATTTGATATATGTTTGTTGGGAAACGGTACCTGAGTCGACATCACAAAGACTGCCGACAACTCTAGCAGTTCAACATTTTGATGGGCTGATCGGCTGATTAGGCTGTTTACTGGGAAGACGTACTGGAATCTATGTAACCAATGAACTGGGGAGAAAACAGGGCGCGGTGGTTTTGATGCTTGTGCATGAGGGATTCTTACATTCTTCGTGGCTAAAATACGTTCTTTGGCAGGTGTGTAGACAGCTGTAGGCCTATATTCATTTTAATGTGACCGTTTTCAAAAAAGTGCTAACTCTCGCCTCGTACCGTCCGAGGAAGGGGGGCATCCCAGACCCCAGAAATCGCGTCAAAACACACACAAATACCAATGGTGAACTGTACAACTGTTTATGGCACTTGCAAACATTCAATTGCTATTATTATTGTTATTTTAAACAACGGTTCACGTTTTCCAACTTAAAAGTTCATTAATGCTCCAAGAAAGGTGGTGAATTCCCATTTCAGAAGTCTTCCAATTATCGTAAAAAGAAGAAAGAAAAAAATGGTAACTTGTCCCAGGGTATGTAACTTGTCCCCCCCCCGTCCACGCAGGACGCCACTGCATAGGTACATCAGATGTTTATTAACATTTTTAAAGTTAAACTAATCAACTTGTAGTATTTCGCTAACAATGATGAGCATTGGCGGTCGGGAAGTAATTACGTTTAAGTGTTAAGCGTAGTTTCTAAAGTGTGATTTCTGTTTAAGCCCATAGAGCTGCTTGGCTAAAATATCTGACCAAAAAAATCACGCTAAATTGAAATTTTATGACACCACGCTGGCTGCGTTCGACTTCCAGAGTTTTTGTTTGCCCACAGGTTGTACGGTGGTTTTACCATGGACAGCATCGCATGGTGCGGTTTTGGGTTGAAGGTCGACTCCCAGAAAAACAAGAACGATGAATTTGTCGTCAACGCCCGTAGGGTATTTTCGTTTGAACGAAGACCACTGATGTTACTTGTCAGTAAGTGTGTCCGGTAATCAGAGGGTCTTTCGTACAAACGTGCAATTTTAAAATGGATATTTTTCCTGACACTTAAAACTTTCTAAGAACATGATCTGGTAGCAAAACTATTACTTGAATACAGCAGTTATGTCAGTTCACGGTTTTTTTCATTTTACCGCAGTCACGTGGCAATCTTGCCCAAAACTTGCAATGTAATAATAGTTACGACGCCGACGTCTTAGAAAAACTGGACTCGCAGTTGTATTTGTACCGAACGAAGCCACTAGTGGCTTCTACGTGCTGATTAAGGGATTAGGGTTGAAGTCTGTGAGCTGCAAATGAGCTCGGTGAACTGAGTGCACCCCTTAGATGCAAATGAACTTTTATTCGAAATTTCTAAAAACTCCACAAAACGATAACTAAGCCTGAGGCACAGTGAATTAATTATAATTTCGTAGATCTTGTTCTTAATTTACAACGGCTTCTTCTTCTCCTCCTCAGATTTTCTCCCTTTTTTGAATCCGATCTTCGAGTATTTTGATGTGGCTTTGATGCCGGCCAAGGTCGCCCAGTTCTTTTCTTCGGTGACTGATCAAACTCGTAAGCTTCGCAAAGAGGAAGCACTTAGCAATGACCGTAAAAAGGTAAGAGTCGCCCCATGATAGCAAGGTCACACACTACAACCTCACCAGCTTCCCCGTTCCATTTCAGTTCGTTTTATTTTCTTTTGATTCATTCTGTTTTTGATTGGGAGGGTTCTGGTTCTGGAAGCAGGGGCTTGGAACCAGTCTAAGTAATTAGTCCCTAGCTGGACCAAGAGGGGCGCAATTTTCTAAGCAACTGAGGCTCCCTTGGTGGGAACTGCACTTCGCTGGTTCACAAACGGCAATGAAATGTGCGTGTTATGTTCGCATCGCTACCAACAAAACCAACTCTCCCGACGTCGGGACCAACATGGCGCTTTTCAACCAATGGAAGGGTGCTTGTGCTGAACGTGGATAATGACGAATATGTCAATATTTTTATCATCAGCAAATAGATATGCTACAGCTTCTTTTGAATGCTCACAACGAAACTGTTGAAGGCGACGACGAGGAGGCAGGGCCCCAGCTTCAAACACTAAAAGGCTCCAAAAGGCCACTTACCAATGACGAAGTCACTGCTCAGGTAAACTCCTGAATTACTGATTTTATTCTGTCTATCTTAAATACAGGGTGGGCTGCACAGAACTCGACAGTTCGTCGCATTTTTAAAACTTATTTTATTACATTTTGGATCAAGTTATAGCTGTCTAGCTCAATAACTTCAGATGATAAAAGCTGCTGTTTGATCAATTCTTCGAATGATTGTTTCCCAATAACGTGCGTTACTCATCGAAAAAATCAATAATTTTTGTTGCACATATTATCCTATAGACTATACTTTTCTTTCTCGCTGGATACGAGACCACGAACACTCTTCTGGGCTTTGCCTCGTACCTTCTCGCAATAAACCAAGACTGTCAAGAGAAGCTCTACTCGGAGATACTAGACGCGGCCTCAAGCCGCGATCTAGTCAGCTATGACACTGTCGGCAAGATGACTTATCTAGACATGGTGATAAATGAATCGTTGCGGTTCTACCCACCTATTGCAGGGTGAGTGAACCACATAGATATGTAATAATTGTGTGGAATGGTCTGATGGCGACAAGCCACCGTCACCTTTATTGTTAGGCAACATCAAGACGGCGAAAACGCAGCCAGCTACTTCAGAAAACCGTTCCAGAGATCATTGAGTCCTGGACTAATTAAGCCGATTCACAATTGTGCGTCTCCAAGAGTTTGCAACGCATTGACCAATCACATTGTGCGAAATCTGTCGACCCTTTCCGAGCACGCATTGGGTCGACAGATTTTGCGCACTTAATCGGTCAATGTGTTGCAAACTCTTGGGGGCGCACTATTGTGGAACACCCGTATAAAGGCAAGTTCGATCAGCAGCAAATTGTCAATTCCAAGTCCAATTTTGGCTGATAACCTGTGGATGAAATTTATACCGGGCACCAGGTAAACTTCAACAGTGGTTAGCAGACTGTAGCTGATCGAACTTTCCTTTGGCCCGCATAAAGTTTAAGAACGCGCAAGTGAGCGTCGTGGTTTGGTGCCACTGCAGTAGTGAAGTCTTTTCACATAAAGTTTCAAGTGAGGATGCTTTAAGTACAGATTTCCTGCTCACCTTAATATTAAAACACTGACCCTTCTTGTAGAATGCGAACCCAGCAGTTAAAGGCATTTTAACAATGGAAAGTGTTACTGTGATGCTAACGAACCGCAACTCGTTAGGTATAGAGGTAGCTCCATGTCTACAT